TGTTCTCAAGTCATTTATTTATTTATTTTACTTTGGCACAATTTTCTCCTTATTATGAAATGCAAACTATTAAATAAGGTGAGAAAACTTGGTAAGGATTTTTGTTATTTCAAGAATAACTGAACTTAAAGAAAAGTAGCTTTGCTGAATATCCATAAATAAAATGATACGATAGCAAGGTAGAGATTCCATCTTTTATTACAGAAAAACGGGAGCCCCAAAAAATGTATTTTGAAGATATGAAACACTTGCTTCAAATAAAGATGTTTTATAACATAGTATTTTTTAAAATCAATTGAGGTCACAGAAAATACAAGGCATTTCTCTCAGCACATTTCCTACACATTATTGCAATGAGAAATTGATTCAGAGAGACTTAAATTCTGTTCCTGCCTCCTAATTAGTTACAGATCCAAAGTGAAAGACTTAATTCTGAGCATATCATTTGGAAAGGTGAGATAATACCACACACATACTGTTGTTTTATTATCTAAAATACAAACACTGCACAACCTCTAATCAATCACTAAGCCATACTTAATATTTCTATTCATTACTTTTTAATCCCTCTGCTTTTTAGTTCAGATCACACCTGGGATATTACAAAAGTTTCACAACAAGCTCCCAGTTTCTACTCTAGACTCCATTCTTAGCCATTTTCTACTTTAGAACTGTTAAAACAGAAATTTAACAATATCATTTTCAAACTTAAAACTCTCTAATGGCTTCCTGCTGCCCTTAAGATAATATCCAATATCTCAGCTCAGCCATTAAGGCCATACAAGATTTGTTCCCTCTTGTTCATTCTTGTCCCATGACCTTCTCCTTTCCCTTATAGCTCTGCATGCTTCACTGTAGCCACAGGAACTTCTTGCAGATTCTTCAAAGATTCTGCATCTGGGCCTGTGCACATACAGATTTCTATTCATCCTCTGGATGTCTGCTTTGATGGCGTCTCCTCCAGGAGGCTTTCTGCAATAGGGTTAAATGTTCAACCTAATCCTTCCACACTACCCCATTGTGGTAGTCATAACACTACGTATTTTAATAATTTACTTTTCTCTCTGTACCTCTATACTCAGTGCCAAAACTGTCTTATTTACCCCATGTACCTGATTCCTAGATAGAATTGGACATACAATTTTATTTAAATTATATTACTTAAATTATAGTTAATATTATTTTAATGCACTATTTCTCTTCCCTCAGTACTGTTCTAACCATGTTACTCAATTTCTCTGAAACTTTCAATGGTTCCTTGTTTCCTATCTTATCCAGTTGAAATTCCTCTGCCTGGCTTTCTTAGTCTCTCATAATCTGTCTTTTATACTAAATTTCCAATCTTATTTCCCTACATGCCCCCAAAGGTAACCTTTTTATGGTCTGGTAATTATGAAGTATCATGATGTTTCTTTCTTTTGGAATACCTTTGACAACTTTGTAAAAAATATACTTTGCAGTCACAGACATAGGAGATTTTCTAATAGAAAGACTTTTTTTTTTAAAGACTTATCTTGTTCTCTTGTTTTGCATGATATGTACCTACCGTTATTTTTAGCACAGTACTGAGCTTACAAGAAATGCTAAATAACTAGTTGACTGATAATCTTTAGTGTTATGTCCAATCTAAAAAATAATGTATATTATCTAGGTCTATAGTTGACAGAATATTAAAAAAAGAAACTTTAAGATTTCATATGATTTAAGAAGTGGCTAATATATTAAGTAAATAGTATATATGGGGGGGTGCAGAGACATGGGTTACAATAAGGTTAAGACATTTCAGTGTTCATCCTGGACTAACCTAACTTCACCAACTGGTCCTTTTAAAAATAAAGGGATTGGGTAGATGACTGTTCACTGCCAAATCATTTTTTCTCACTGCAAAACTTAGTTAACTACTCCAGTGAGTCCCTCAAATGATATTCAGAACATCATGGCAAAAAAGGAGGCAATCAGTTCCCTATTATTCTTTTAAAGATCTTCTCTCCTCTTTCCACTGCCCTCCCAGCACTTTCCTTTAAAGAATTTGAATCACCTTCTAACTTCTTGGAGGTTATATGCATCGAGGTAAGTTATATTGTAAACCTTGCCATTTCTGATCTTTCCTAATAGACATTTTCCTTCAAATAACAACTAGTTAGTGAATCATAAACCAATTTTCAGCAAAACTTGTTATTCAAATACCTATGATACCATGTGAATATATGTCATAGATGAAGTTTGAAAATCTCTGCATGGGGCCAGAATTTCCTCCTTTACTTGGTAGCAAGCCTAATCAACCTTGATCACAGCATAACCTGAAGCATAGGCATTAGTAGATTGATTTCTGAAAGAATCCTTTGATATCAGAGGATATTTTCTAGCTATTTCTGTGATCAATGACAAGAAGTATTACCAAAACAAATTTTCTACTATATAATCTTGCTTGAGGGTAGGGGTCAGTTTTTGATATGTTCCTCATGCTTATCATAGGGCATGACACACAGCAGGCACTCAAGAAAACTATGAAAAGAATGAGTGAATGAATTAGTATGAAAATACTCAGTAGAGCATTCATAGTTTAAAATAGAAACAATACAGAGAATAGCTGTCACCACCATCACTGAATTTATTAACTAATTTTACTTGAAAGGTGCTAGAGTTTATTAAGAAAAATAACATCATCCTTGTCCACTTTCAGGGTAAAATCTATGAAAAGACTTTTTATTCACACAGAAAAATTTATTAAGCATTTGGTATGAACCAGCATTGTTCTTGGTATTAGAGGTACAGTGGCAAATACAAAAACTGCTACTTTGGGGAACTTACATTTAAATGTGAGTGATACCAAAAAGCACAATGCATCTATCATCCTAGTGACAAGTGTTAAGGAAAAAACAAAGTATGGAAGTGGGGATATGAAGTGGGAAAGTTGAAATTTTAGATGACTAGGCAAGGTCTTCTGATAAAAAAAACATGAAAAAAATGTTACATTGCTATAAAAGGATAAGAAAGATGAAGGGGAGAGAAGTAGTTGGGTATACAAGCAGTAGACATACTTTAAGTGGTCTACTTCGGCGTGCACCAGTCAGTATGGGGTCTCACTATGGTTATGCATAAGTGCACTGGGGATCAGGGTAAGCTGTAGGATTCCCATTGATAAGAAGGCTGAAGACAGAAGGGATGGCTTGTGGATTTTAGATGAAGAGGGCACTCAAACCAATGCCTGGTGGGAGGTCACAAAGCCACTTAGTTGTGTTTCTAATTTCAATTCATATATTCAAATGAAAAAGGATTGATTCCATGAAATTATTTTAAAAATTTAATTAGAGAAGGAATAGCGAGAAAATTAAAGCAAGTGAAAGTGAGAATCTGGAAGACAGCGATTAAAGTTAAGCGGGACCAAAAACGAGAGACATAGAAAATTTTATGTGGATCATGGCAGATTGTATGTAAAGTGGAAGTTGCAATGGTGACTTAAGGGTTCAATTGTACCTCATTTCCCTTCACATATTGAAGCTCTAAAATCCCCACCACCTCAGAATGTGATCTTACTTGGAAATGGGGTCACCGAAGACACAATGAGGTCATACTGGAGTAGTGGGCCCCCCATCCACCATGACTGTGGTCATAAAAATGGAAAAGTTCATAGGGAGAACAACATGTGAAAGCTGGAGTCAAGTTGCCCCAAGCCAAAGAACTTGCCAGAAGCCAAGAGAGAGGCCTGAGAGCTCCTTACTGTGCCTTCAGAGGGAGCTCCGGGCCCTGCCTTACATGACTTCTGGTCTCCACAACTCAGTCCATAATTTCTATTGTTCTAAACCACTCAGTTTGTGGTAATCCTAGGAAATTAATTCTGTACGATGATTTTGAGGTAAACAGGAAGGGCTCTCTTAAATAAGAGAAAAGCGAGGTGCCTACTTGACTTTTGCATCAAAAAAGTCCATTTTTTTTTTACTTCTGTAAAAGTATTTTCGTGTTTTACCGAATCTCTAATTATCATGTTGCACTTTTTATTTCAGATAAATCACATACAATCTCCCTGCTTAATAGGGGCCCTGTAATTTTTGTTTGCAATATTTGTCATACACATTGATACTGATCTGATGTAACAGTGAGCACAGATGAAGGAAAAAAACATCTGATTAGTAGAGTAAAAGTTAAAAGGGGACTGAAACCTCGGGGTTCAGCTGTTGTTCCTCCCCGGGGCTGAACTGCTGACCGCGCCCTACAGGTATGCGATAAGGTCGCTGCAGCCTCGGGAGACTGTCCAGATCCCCATCCCAGTGGGGTCAGGGCAAGACCCGGGTGACAAGAAACCAAAGGCTTCCTCTCTCCACTCTCCAGTGCAGAGAAAAAAAGCAGCCCGGGCGTCCCGCGCATGCCCGGTGGCGAAGGCGCCCTCGAAAGGCCGGTGCGTGGTCTGGTCCGCCGAGCAGGTGGCGGGGCCCTCAGGCCGCGCAGCCTCAGCGGGGTTAGCTCGGGGGCGGGGGCCACCTGGGTCGGACTTCGGGTCTGACAATCCCGTTCCTCCAGCGCCCAGACGTGCGGGACTGAGCGGGCACGTCGCGGAGGGTGGAGCCCGACGGCACCCGGGTCTGAGGCCCTTTGGAGCGCCCTCCGGGGGACGTAAGACCGCGACCCTCCCGGAGGGAGGGGCACGACACTCCTCGTTCCACCTGCATTGGGGTTAAGCTGACTACAGCTGGGTCAGCCAAGTGTCCCAGTGCCACGCCCGCCCCCTCCAATGCCCAGCAGGCGTCCTCAAGTGTTTCCCCCCGCCTCCCCCGGAGCGCTAGCCTCGTCACCCACTTGCATTCCAGCTTCGTATTGAGGTCCGCTTTGCTCCCTACCACCCCAGCCAGCATGCTCGGCCGGGAGGGCGGGGCGCTCCGGGCTGCTCGTTGGGGCCGGCGCTGCTCGGGACGGCTCGGCGCCTCCGCCGCCCGCCCGCTCCACGGAGCCGCGCCCGCCGCAGGCTGCGCCCGGCCGCCCGCCCCGCCCGCCCCGCCCCGCCTCCCGCCGCTCGTCCCCGCCGCGGCCGCGCCGCCTGCAGCAGCAGCAGCAGCAGCAGCAGCAGCTGCTCCTCCCCGGCGGCCGCCCCCCGCGTCCCTCCGTGGCTGCGGGAGAGACGGAGGTAGAGGGAGGACGCAGCTCCGCCGCGCGCCCCGAAGACCTTCGCCTGGCCCTGCCGGTCCTCACCCTTTGGGGGGAACATGGGTAAGTCATCTTCCCCCGTCATCGCCTGACATTTTCCTCGTTCTCAGCGAGCTGCAGGGTGGGAAGCGTGTCTCGCGCAAAGTTGCCGGATTTCTCCGACCCACGGGCGCGAGATCGTGGCTCTTTCCCCGGCCCGGGAGAATCGGCGCACGCGGAACGCACGCCTGGTGCCGGGCTGGGAGGGTCCCGAGCCCGGGTGGGGTGGGGTCGGGCCGCGCGCGGGGCCGGACCGCCGCCCGCACCTCGCTCCTCGCCTCCCCTCCTCCATTCTTCCTGCCGGTGCCTCTCGGGCTCGGATCCGCCGCCCAGCCCCGGTCCCTCTCCAGGCCCGGTGTCGGCCGGGCTCGAGGCTCGGGTCCGATCGGCAGAAAGACCACTTGGTGGAACTTCCTTCCCTATCCGGGCGACCTCTCCCTATCTTGGGGACCACTCCTTTTGGGGCGGGGAAGTGCGAGCAAGTAGTTTGCGAGGGCGATTTTACAACCTGCACGCAAATTATTGTCCCTTGGGGAAGAAGGGACAGCCTCCTGGGTTGAAATGATGACTTGTCAGAGGCCATGAGGAACGCGAGGCGGCATGGAGCCGCTAGCTGTTGAATTGGTGTTGGGTGACTGCAATATTCCAGTCCTCAATCCGTTTTCTTGATGCCTTCGTCTGGTTACTGTAGCAGGAATTTGCACCCTGTAACATATTGTTACCGAATTTGCATGCTAGTTATTCCTTCCCAGCTTCCCTCTGCCTAAATCTGCATAATCTGATTTTTGTTCCATTGTATCTATAGTTAATCTCAAAAGGCTGATTTGAATGAGATATTTCAAAGCAAATCGTTTTCTAAAACTGAGCATCATTTAACCTAAGATTTTTCATGTGTTTCTTAACTGCTCAGTAATTACAAAAACGTCTGATGAGTTCTGTAATGTAATTAATTAAAGCCAAAACTTTCTTTTAATAGTAGCGACTTGGAATACCTTACTTCGACATGTTCTCTGGTTTGCTTCCACTCCTATCATTTCCTCTCTTTTTAATTTGTTCTGTTGGCATTCGTCCCCTCGGACTTTTCTCACTCCTACTTTAAGCTTGAGATGAGAGTGGTCCTTTCATCTGTCAATACAGTGCTCAGTACTTCCAGAGTTGGGTCACGGCAACTCAGAACCTTCAAGGAAGTATCTAAATCTAGAAATGATGCTGGAGAGCTTCCTGGGAAAGCAAATGCTCCAAGCTCTGATTCAGACCTTTGGCCACAGGGTGGGAAGATCATAGTGTTGCAGAGGAGATGGCCCTAATTTTATTATCACTTGTTTCCCTTTTAATATGAGAACTATTGATAGGCCTAGCAAATTTCTGTAAAAAGAGGGTGGCTTATTTGTATGCGTCTATGCTTTCTCTAGGACTAGAATTTTTTATGAATGTTAAATCAGGTTATTGAACATACCGTGTCTCCTTTGAACATGCACAGAGTTTCTTAATTATAGGTGATAAGTTTGGCCTGTAAAATACATTTTTCAAGGTGAGCTTAAAAAAATCCATTTAACTGAAATTTTAACTTAAATGTTGAATCAGAATTGGGAAAAAAATCCAATTCTGTTGCAAAACTATTGAATAAAAGCAAATTTATCCATTTAAAGATCATCTTGAAAATCTTAAATGCTAGTACTTGATTGAAATTAAAAAAAAACTAAAGTAGAAACCCATCTCTCATTTCTCAGAAACTTTTTGATTAGAGTAATCTTTCTTCATAGTACTCTTTGCCTGGCTAGAAGCTTTTTGGCACTTACATAATCTACTTCCTAATGGAGTTGTTTGTGCGTGTTGTGCCTTTACTCTTGAGTTCCAGAAGATGAAATTTATGTATTAATTTTTGTTTATCTCACAGTGCTGTACACATCGTAGGCATTCAGTAAATCTTTGGAAAATTAATTCTTACAACTACCTATTATTTTCACCTTTTGCACCTGCATGTGTAGGGTCTGAATAGACATTTGGGTCGGTAGATGATTGTAAAGTAGTATGGCCTGTCTTCTCTTAAAAACCAACAACAGAACACCACTCAGTTGTCTTAGAGCTACGGGTTTTAGGTCAATCTCAGGCAAGCCATTTTCTTTTAAACTGCCATTCTCAGTGATAAGGTGGTTTTGTGTATGACCAATAGGTACAATAATGTAAAATTGAAACCTTGTAAATAGTTTTATATCTGAGCCAAGGAAGTTATTATGACAATTCATAAGACACACTGATTTGGCATCAAGAGGTGGGATGCCAGGCTCAATAAGCTGAAGGTCCTGAGTACAGGTTAATAGTAGGAGGGAAAAATCACTTTTTAATGTGTACTCAAGAAATAATGTGATTTTAAAAAAAGAGTCTTGTGGTAGTGATTTTCTCTACAAAAAACTAAAGGAAAATTCACTTATAATCTTGTGGACCACAGTTATTATTTTATGTACATATTTTATTATAATCACAACATTTATTATTTATTGAATAGCAACCATATGAACTGTACTGTAGGAAGACAAAGATAAATAAGATATTCATGTTTCAAGTTTCTTATAATCTTAGCAGGAACACTATGGCACAAATAACTGTAATAGAAATGTATAAATTATATAAAAGACTCTTGCATATATTACAGATTCTGGGGCTAGAGAGAAGGTTTTAAAGAAATGTTCCAAAGTTCAGTTAAGCTTCTGTTAATCAGAATGGGGGATTGAGAAATACCTGAAGATAGATGGGGAACATTAAAGAAGTTTCTAGCATAGGATTAAATAGCCATGTTTGACTAGGCAAAAGATAAGCAAATAGTGGATAACAGGATGAAAAAGTATTAATAATAACCATCAGATAATGGAAGATCTTAAATACCAAGCTTGAAGAAGAGATTGGACTTGTCTGTTGAGGGACCATTACACATTTCCATGTATTACATTTTAGAGGGAACGGCACACGCAGTTTTCTTGCCTGAGAATAATTTGTAATTTCACCCTAGTGCCTCACATTTCTTTACCAGTCCACTTTCTTATGTCTTTATGACTTAGGACAGTGTGATTTTTATTTTTGTAATACCTGTCATTGGGGATTATGTTTCAACATGAGTTTTGAACAGAACAAAATATTCAAACCATTGCTTCTAGAAAAGGTCTATTTTGATTCTAAAATTCTATGATTGTTTGAAACTAAAGTTTGAAATTGTCTAGCTATCATTGATGTCTTATATTCAACTATGTAAGTTGTCTTTCTTCAGTCTTGAAATGGTAATCTGTATTTGAGGTAGCAACTTAAGAGTTTGCACCAATTTGTTACCTTTGTCTAAATAAATGGCCTAAAAGCCATTTCTTAATGGTGGCTAAGACGGAGAAGCTGGATTTTTTCATTGCTTCTATTTATATTTGTACAATTGTGAACAGAAGCATTCCAGGAGTTAAAAACAAGGAAAAAGATAGGAAAGTGATAAATTGAGCTACTAACTATGATTAGCTGTACTTGTAAGTTCCAAAGACCTTCTAATGATTTTTTTCTATTTTCCTCACAGAATGACTTTAGGTACCTACTGGTATCTATATCTATCTATCTATCTCCCTACCTATCAATTATTTAGGCTACATCTTTATAGCTAGGAGATTATTAAATGTCTATATAATGTGTAATCAATTCAAACTTAGTGAGTTCAAAACTGAATTTATTGTATAATTTTTAACAATGACAACCAGAGGTGTGCTGAAGTGTGTAGCCCTTTTCAAAAACTCCTGATTTGTGGTGGTTGTCAATTTCCTGAATTGTGTTGGAGAACACCATAATACAGTATATCAACCATATAGGCATAAGAATCTCAAGAGCACAGATAATAGAATGTAGCAAAGTAATTAATGATGTTTTGAATATGAACACCTCTCAATATAACTCATTAAAAATGTTTACAATTTAATTTTCAATAATGGTTGTTTTAATAACTCACATAAAAATTCTAAAGTTTTAATAATCATATCTCACAGGCCAATAAAGGAGTCTCGTACACCATTGAGTTAATAATTACAGTTTATTAAGAATTACTGATGTCAGTTATCATGCTATACTTTATACATTTTTAAAATGAATTTTTTCAATAGCTCTATGAATTGAGTGACATTGCCTGGTTTACTGACTCAAAGAATAAAATAATTATCCAAGAGAGCAGAATACTCCAAAACCCTGGTTTAAAGTAGTAGTTTTCAATTTTTAGTTTGCATGAGAGTCATCTGGAATACATGTTTAAAAAAATTACTGAGTTTCCCTCAGAAATTCTGATTAAATAGGGAACGGATAGACTGAGAGTTTGCATTAGTCTCACATTCCCAGGTGATGCTACACTGGGAATCCACCAGCATCCAGCTGGGGCTGGCAGACTTTCTGTGTCAAGGGCCGGATGGTAAGTATTTTAGGCTTTGCAGGCCAAAAGGCAAAATCAAGGGTATTCCAGAGAAAAGAAAGAAAATATAAGATGAAAGAAAACAGATACCTGCAATTTTTGGACTGAATTTAAAACATGATAACATCAATTGAACATAGCTTATTGGAATAAGAAAAAGATTGGAATTCTTTTGGCAGGGATTAGCATTTCACTTGTTGGTAGTTCAAAGTTATGCTCTCATCAGAATTAATTGTAGGTGTTTGTTAATGTAGGTCTATAATGCAATTTGGTGAATTTCAGCTTTGAAACATTTTTCACACACACACACACACACACACACACACACAGCCGAGGAAAATCTGAAAACATTTTGCCTTATTTTTTTAAATTGCAGTTAGATATTGTTCTCAATGTCCTAATTTTGAGTAGCTAGTCTCACTGAAAAGCTATTCTTTTCTTTTTGTTTGTTTGTGACAGGGTCTTGCTCTGTAGTGCAGGCTGGCTTTCAACTTGCAGTTTTCCTGCCTCTGCTTCCCAGGTGCTGGGATTACAGGCATGTATGACCAGGCCTGATGAAAGGCAGTAGCCTTATTTATAGCCTACATAATTAACTCACCAT